CTGTTCGTGATCAAAAGCGGTAGAGCCCTGTAGCTCGGAGTCCTCTGGCACAGGTCGAAGGTTGCTGGACTCATGGGCGTTGTGTGGGACGGACAAGTACGACTCGCTGGCGAGGATTCGAAGGAATGGAATCGAGACAAAGGACAGAATCGAGGTTCCAAGGGCTAGAAGCAAAAGAAAATGGCCGGTATCGTCCTTGAAAATGAGAGTCGACAGATTGGACCAGAATAGCGCGCTCAGTCCAAAGGCGGCCATCGGGAAAGCGGTTGCCGTGCCGCGGTGGTCGGGGAAGTTGGATGCCGCTAGAATCATTGGGTTAACTTTATCAAGTAAAGTCCTTAGTGTAACATACCTGTTTTGATGGCACCGCCAAAGGCAGAGCAACCGCCCATGCCAGTAAGGAAAGCGAAGAGGCATAGGAAGACAACCGGCATCGATCCTTGGCCGTTATCATATGCTACAAACATTAGAGCTGCTCAATTCCGACAAGGTATAAACAAGGCATACCCATATAGATTGGGAAGTAACCCAGGCCCAGGCAAATAGAGCCGATCAGCGCGACAAGTCGAGGACCGCGGGCATCTGTGAATAATCCCATTGGAATCCCCATCGCATACATCCCCAGGTTCCCTGCGACGCCCTAGAGGTTGTTAGGATTGGTTTCCCGGCACCGGACACTGGGACAACTCACAATAAAGTTGCTCTCGGTGGAAGAGAGCTTCATCCGCTGCGCGAATTGCGGCGCCCATGCGGAGTATGCGTACTGGCATTGAGTTAACCTTAATGGCTCTGAATGGGGATAAGACCGGAATATCACGCACATTAGTTCCGCATGAGAGGGCGACCAGCGTCCCCGCAATGACGGAAATAACCCGGGCAGTTCGGTGGAGAGAGCCTGGCATTATGTAGCCCCTCTGCGAGTGGTTCTAGTTGATATCTTGTGCGATACAAGTGGTTTAGCGGCGGGAGTGATTGATTAGGCCCTAGACAGATGTGAGGCCGACACTGGGAGAAACATCGGACCCGAAATGAAGGACGAGAAGGGCGAAAAGAGCGAATGAAGTTATATAGGAAGAATTGAGGCAAGAAGGCCACTTGGGATTTTTCAGGAGCGTACACTTAGGTAAGGATTTGGAGATGATCCCGGAGGCCGCGTGGTCGGAACAGCCGTTCAGCAAGCGCCAAGGAAAGTTTGCTCCACGTCAACTGATGTACAAATACGATGAATGAATTGATTTGTAAAATTGAATGGGGGAAAGAAGAGGAAAAGAAATGTAATAAGGGACGTATGTCAAGTCCCGCGTCGCATCCGTTGATAACACACCTCAAGATTATCAATCGTCCGGAATTGCGCGAATCGGGACTCGTCATAGTTCGACTCCGCGACCAAATGTGTTTCTCCACGATAAGCATGTCAACATTGAATGCCTTAAGGCATCATTTAGTGACTTCTATTACAATGTTTCCTTCGAGTTTGTTGACTTGTACCCTCTGCCCTATAGTATCTATAATAAAAACATATTTTACAGGTTTCTAGGCTTTTCATTAATTTGCCACCTCCACCGTTAATTTATCCGAATGCATTGTTGGAATAGATAGAGCGGTTTGTAATGATGGGGTAGCCTGGGGGTGTCTATGATGTACATACGACATAGCGATGGCCTCCTGTATCTCTACCATCTCATCTGACAACTCTTTTCTCATACTTCATGTCCGAGCTTTGTTCTCTGTCTTAAGATAATCAATGTTCAACAAATGGCATAACTTTCCTCTCATTGTAGATAATCCCGCCGGCACGTAAAAACTAGCTCAAGTGTGTACTGAACAAAGTTGGTCCTTTGGAGTTCCTCTAATGCTATGAGAAACACAATCTTTTGATGATGTCGAGGGTCATAGATAGCGGGGGTGGAGAGTCTAAACCCAAATGGGCAGGACAAAAGAGGCTTGCCACGTGATATATTTTCGGCTTAGATATATTACGTAACATTCATGACGAAGGCGGTCTCAGGTGATGATCTTCAATCTGATCACTTGCCTCTGCACACTCTCGATTCGGATCCAGGTTCACTTGCAAGATTGTACATTAGAACCAGACCAGTGCGTTATACGGTATCTGCACTCCCAAGATGGGTGCTCTCCTTTCTATTCCGCTGTTGGCCGTGCCGAGTGTCGGTACAGTATGTTGTCGCCTACCAATCTCCAGTGCACCGATACGCTCGTTGTACAGATAGCTAACTCGCATTTCTCCCTCAACAGCTCTTGACAGTAGCGACGTCATGCTGTGGAGCAGCGACATGCTCAGCGGTCTGCAGCGCCTGCGGAAAGTTTCAAAACAGGTACCATCTACCAGCTGCCTAGTGCGGAGAACCTCGGACTAACAAGGACAACAGTATGGCGACGAGAATCGCCTATGCCTTCATCCTTTTGATCAACTCCATAATCTCCTGGATTATGCTCACACCATGGGCTCTGAAAAAATTGCAAAACTTGACACTGGATTATATGGAGATTCGATGCGACGGGAAGGAATGTCATGGCTGGGTCGCGGTCCATCGCATAAATTTCGCCCTTGGTCTCTTCCATTTAATTCTCGCCCTTTTGCTTCTCGGTGTTAAAAGCTCCAAAGACACTCGCGCCGCTCTCCAGAATGGATATTGGGGTCCTAAGGTCATCCTCTGGGTGGGCTTTGTCGTCATGTCGTTCTTTATTCCCGAACCCTTCTTCTTCGTCTATGGCAACTATATCGCCTTCTTCTGCGCCATGCTATTCCTGCTTTTGGGTTTGATCCTTCTGGTGGATCTTGCGCACTCGTGGGCAGAGCTCTGCCTGCAGAAGATCGAAGACAGTGACTCTCGTGTGTGGCGTGGTCTGCTTATTGGTTCGACCCTTGGCATGTACTTGGCGTCTTTTGTCATGACCGTCCTGATGTACATCTTCTTCGCGAACAGCGGTTGCTCTATGAACCAGGCCGCTATCACCGTATGTATCCCCCATACCACGAACCTTGGCAGCAGCTGACTCGTCGCAGATTAACTTGGTCGTGTTTTTGATCATCTCTTTCGTTTCTGTTCAACCAGCGGTGCAAGAGTCGAACTCGCGCGCAGGACTAGCCCAAGCTGCAATGGTCACTGTCTACTGCACCTACCTCACTATGTCTGCCGTTTCGATGGAACCGGATGATAATCACTGTAACCCCCTCATCCGGTCCCGCGGAACTAGAACTGCCACTATCGTTCTCGGTGCGATTGTCACTATGCTGACTATTGCTTACACCACCACACGTGCTGCCACTCAAGGAATTGCCTTGGGATCGAAGGGCGGTCACAGCTACATCCAGCTAGGCACAGATGACAACGAGCACGGCTTGGTGACCCAGCAACCAAACACACGCCGTGAGATGCGCGCTGAAGCTCTCCGGGCCGCTGTCGAGAGCGGCAGTCTTCCTGCCAGTGCCCTGGATGATAGTGATGATGAGGATGAGTATGATACCACGAAAGATGACGAGCGTGGTTCAACCCAATACAATTACTCGCTCTTCCACATCATCTTCTTCCTCGCCACAACATGGGTGGCCACTTTGCTAGTCCAGGGACTAACATTGGAGACCACGACGGATTTCGCACCAGTGGGCCGTACATACTGGGCCAGCTGGGTGAAGATCGTTAGCTCCTGGGTCTGCTATGCTATCTATCTTTGGACTCTAGTTGCGCCTGTTATGATGCCCGATCGCTTCGGTATTTATTAGTTTTTCTTTTATTGATTTTGCGCGTTAAGAGCGGTATTATTGCTCCCGGTTGTCCATATTGATTTATATCCATAATTGCAGTGCTGCAAGTGAATATTTCCAGATCTTTGTAGCGCAAATAAGATCTCTTTGGGTGAAGTAGAACAGGGGCGTCATCGAATGTATAGACGGCCCACTGCGGCCTTGGCAAATCCACGCGTTAAGTGAGACGCGTGCCAACTTATCCTCCGCAGACATCATGGGATGAAGATGGCCACAATCCAAGCCATCGAGGCCCGCTCGGTATGAAATCCGATGCCTTTCCGCAGAGCCTTGTTCTGACCAGCGCATTAATTAGGTACACCAAATCCAGTCGGGTCAAGTCATCGTTGACTTGTGCTCCGTCGTCAAAGAGCTTGTCGAAAACAGTCTGGATGCCGGCGCAACCACGATTGGTGAGTGAATGACATTTCCCGATATGGTTTGTGACACATTTTCTGATGATTTCGGATGTTTCAGAGATCCGATTTAAGAATAATGGACTGGACCTAATTGAGGTCCAAGATAACGGCACCGGGATTTCGCCAGAGAACTATGAGAACGTCGGTGAGCTGCCACTTCTTTCTTGGTATATTGCGCTCAAGCTTATTCTCTATTTCTATTAGCATTGAAGCACTATACCTCCAAATTGTCGTCATACGATGACCTCTCGAGCCTGCACACATTCGGTTTCCGAGGCGAGGCGATATCCTCACTCTGCGCATTGGCCGACTTCCACATCGTCACGGCCCAGGAAAAGCAAGTTCCCCGCGCAAATCGACTCGATTTTGAACAATCTGGGAAGCTCCGGAAGACACAGATTGTGGCTGGGCAGAAAGGAACGACCGCATCGGTAGAAGGCATCTTCAAGCGGCTTCCAGTGCGCCGGCGGGAATTGGAGAAGAACATCAAGCGGGAATATGGGAAGGTTCTGAATCTGCTACATGCCTATGCCTGCATTAGCACTGGAGTCCGGTTCAGTGTCAGGAACACTGTTGGCAAGACACGGAACGTGGTGGTCTTTTCTACAAATGGGAATAAGACTACCAAGGAGAATATTGCTAATGTTTATGGCGCGAAGACATTATCGGCCCTTATATCCCTTGACCTAGAGCTGGAATTTGAGCCTGCCGCAGCTACGAAACGGGTTGGCGATGATCAACTGAGTAAAATTCAGGTGCGAGGCCATATCTCTCGTCCTGTATTTGGCGAGGGCCGTCAGACTCCGGATCGTCAGATGTTCTTTGTCAACTCGCGGCCATGTGGCCTGCCGCAGATTCAGAAGGCGTTCAACGAGGTTTACAAGTCGTTCAATGTTTCGCAGTCGGCGTTTATCTTTGCGGACTTTCAGATGGATACAAATGCTTACGATGTCAACGTTTCGCCTGATAAGCGCCAAATTCTGCTTCATGACGCGGGGGCTATGATTGAATCGCTCAAAGTTTCCCTCACGCAACTCTTTGAGGATGCGGACCAAACTGTGCCGCAGTCATCGGTCAAATCTAAACCTTTACCAAAACAGCAACCACTAGCATCACTTCCAGGGTTCGTCACTGCTCGGGAACTGAGCGAAAGCGGTGGTTTCAGAAGCCCAAGTCAAGATCGGACGAAAGAAAGCCCAATGCAGACTCCGGGGCCAAGTCAACAGAGCGCGATTCAGCGCTTCACGAGCTCACGAGCGGGCGTGGGAAGTGCGCAAGCCACGCCGTCTTCGGCTCGATCGATGAGAACACCCCGCAGTGCGGCCAATCGCTCTTCGATGTCGACGCCAGCCCCAAGTGAGCTAGAAACGCCTGCTGCGGCGGTCTCTGACGATGGACTTTTTGCCCAAGTAGACGACCATGAGGAGCCTGAGGCAACACCCGTCTCTGACGAACCATCATCCCAGCCACCAGTTCCCGACGAGACTCCATCTCGCACTCGTGAAGACCCAGAAGAAACCCCCAACATTGTCCAAAATGCCTTTGATAGAATGCGTCCACGACGAGAACCCGCCGAACTGGCTACCATCACTATTGGAAACCGAACTGTAACGTCCATGGTCGGTAGTGGTCCTCCACGAAAACGAGTCTCAGAAGATCCGCCTCTAATGAAAGAGCCACCCCGGCGGAAGAGACGGATACACACACCATCACGGCCTAATATCTTCGGTGAACATATGAAAGCGTTTGCTGCGCCTGGGTCGCAGCCGCATGAAGAACAAGAAGATGATGATGACGACGAAGATGAAGAGGCCTCTGCTAGTGAAGGTGACCAGATTGAAGAAGATGGAAATAAACTTTTAAGTGAGATCGAGGACACACAAGACGTTGAGCAAGAGCCCGAAGACGAGGGCTCTCCTCCACCCGAGGATGCCGACCATGTTCCTGACCAAGGTGCGACTCGATCAGAAACCGAAAACACCGAGGCAAAAGACAAAGACACTGCCGCAGATGAGAATCTCGACGAAGCTCAGAAGAAGGCGCAGGAAGAAGCTACAGTTCAGCGGCTCATTCATGAAGCGGAGGAGACTGCTATGCTTCCCCAAGAAAACAGCGCGAACCGTGCAAAGAAGATGAGCAAGGGCGCTGCGCATCGCGACGCGACTATACAACTTGTCGGCACGGTAGACGGGTCTATTTCACGTCTCCAATCTCAACTCATCACATTGCAAAAGACCCTGCAAGCGCGCACCAAGAAGACGAAAGAGGAAGCAACTGATCTTGGCGAGAGAACCGCCGAGGACAAACTTTCCTTGACTGTAAGCAAGAACGATTTCGCCCAAATGCGCATCATCGGCCAGTTCAACTTGGGCTTCATCATCGCAGTCCGTCCAGGAGAAGACCACGATGAGCTCTTCATCATCGACCAGCATGCCTCTGATGAGAAATTCAACTTCGAGCGCCTACAAGCTGAAACCGTGGTGCAAAACCAGCGACTCGTCCGTCCGCAACGCCTCGATCTCACTGCCGTTGAAGAAGAGGTTGTCCTTGAGAATCGCGCAGCCCTTGAGAAAAATGGTTTCCTCGTGACTGTCGACGAAAGCGGCGATGAGCCTATCGGTCGTCGGTGTGAACTAGTATCGTTACCGCTGAGCAAGGAAGTGGTATTCGGCGTACGCGATCTGGAGGAACTGATCGTGTTGCTGTCAGAGTCAATTTCAACGTCAAATGGACTGTCAGTACCACGACCAAGCAAAGTGCGCAAAATGTTTGCTATGCGTGCTTGTCGCTCAAGTATCATGATCGGGAAGACCTTGACGAGCCGACAGATGGAACGAGTTGTTAAGAATATGGGTACTATCGATAAACCGTGGAATTGCCCCCATGGCCGACCGACCATGCGGCACTTGATGAGTCTGGGCCAGTGGGATGAGTGGAATGAATTTGAGGAAGCGGAAGGACTCGATCCTTGGAAACAATACTTGGAAGGAGAAGACGAAGAAGATGAAGAAGATGAAGAAGACGAATAATAGTCCATAACGATACCCTGTGCGTGATATATAACAAGAACAACAAATTAAATGAACAAAGACATAAACCATCACCACCATCGCAACCACCCTTTCGCCGGCTGATCCAGTTTCTTTCCATTAGCATCAATATCAACATGCCCATTTTGCCCATTTATATTGCCATTCTCAACATCCCCATTCAGTTCCGTATCGCTATCCCTCCGCTCATCGCCATTCTCATTCCCATGACCCCTCTCAACAACATCCATCATATCCTCCAGGGCCAGCAAATCACGCTCAATCATCTCCGCCCAATTCTGCACATCCCCGATCTCCTTTAAGCCGTCGCGCGTCTCATCCGCGAATCCAACCCACTGCTGGTTCTGCCGCGCTAGTCGCTGCGTATTCTCCGCTAGCTCGGCTTCTTGTCTTTCCAGCGCCGCCGCGTTGGATTGGATGTTTGCTGCACGGTCGCGAAGCGGCGCTTCGAGATTCGTTCCAACGGAGTGAAGTGTGGCGGTAAAGGCTGCCAGCGCTTCTTTTTGTCGTTGGTCGTCTGTTGTGTTTGCTAGGTCTGCGGTTGGGTCTGCGGTTGGTGGGTTTGGGTTCGCTTGCGGGGTGGGGTTATCCATGATACTTGGCTGTCGGTTCGGATTTTGATGGATTTGTATGTTTTGATATTTGGAAAAATGATCCAGATAACTCGCTCACGTCTATTGGTCTCTTGGTCTCTCTGGGCCTTAGATCTCTGGTTACTGATATACAAATCTGTAAACGAAAGATCGACAACCCCACCCGGCACATGTCATCTCTGTTGGCATCCGTTCCCCACCCTACATGATGGAGATTTGTCGGTCAGTGCGTCTGATCACTCTGTCTTTACCTTAAAGACTGTGAACTTTGAGTTCCTTGGTTATACTTAGCTTGCAAAGAGGGCGTGTATTTGACTTGTTTGTCGCATATCGGTATTGGGCTTAACCACGCAAATTGATTGAGAGCAAAGTCAATTATAAGTCAATTATAATGGCAAGAAAATATCATCTTTTGACAAGTACACCTTGATTTTATCTTTATGTTTGGGCTCTAAATAGAGCTACTGGGTCTGGCCTGATAGACATACCATGATCAAAATTGTAGGCAGTCTAAGAGGAAGGAAAAGAATACCTTGGCTCAGTTGTGTTCCAGATTATAGCGCAAAAAACACCAAAGATAGAGAAAATAAAGAGAAAATAAATCATAGGCTCATATGTCAATAGGGTCCTGCTCGGAGAGACATGTGAAAGCGGCCTCTCGACCTTAGCTGCTATTCACATTGATAGAATCATAGAATTCGTTTTCTTGAGGTTCTCCTCGCCGCGGTGTAATAACTTCACTTGTCTGGGTTGCATTTCCACCGATCAGCATAGGCTTTCTCTCGTTTTTTACTGCCGATGTAGGTAATCTTGGAAGGTAACTGGGCATGCACCTTCCCAAGGTTCCCAGGTTGGGTCCTATCCCAATTAGGCTTAGTTGTGTTCTCTGTTTCCTTTGTTCTCTTTTGTTTGTGGAGAATAAAAGTGGGACTGTCACTTCCCAATTAGGCACGAGGTCCCCCAGATAGAAGCCTCCCATGGAGGCTTTTCAAACTTCCTCCTCTCAACCACCTCCATCACAAGCTTCCCAGATCTACTAATCTGGTACGGCTTCCCTGATTGCATCGAGGAGTGGTATAGGTGAGTAACATACTCTCTCCTCTCTCCTCAGTCAAGATGATCTGCCAACAATCGACAGCCTTAGTAGATCTATGGGGTACTCTGCAGTGTCTCCTGTACATATCGAACAGGTACCGTACGTGTTCTCCCACTCGCAGGCTTTTGATATAAGTTTTGGCAAATCTGACTCACGCTTTTTCTTGATTAGATCCTTCGTCGGAAATCCTAAGCCGGTTCGCCCACCTCGGCAGTGTTGTATGTTCTCCTGCCAGTGACAATCTTTTTCCCATCACTGACGTGTCACCTCTCAGGACCTTCGTTGGGTGGCGGCAATGTGTACCTGCGCTGAGCGTGGACTCTCTCTGATTGGCCTGTCAGCCTTGGTGATTTGAGGGCGAGTTCTCCAGCCAGTGGTATGTTACAATATCTAACCACGTTTTCCCTCCGTCGGAATCATTCTCGCAAATGCCCCCAGACCAATTCCGCACCCTACTTCGGAGGATGCTTGTGCTGTAAATCTTGGGGAGGCAGATGGGAATATCCGCAAGCCCCATCAATCCATGCGGGTTTGGGAGCCTGAGGCGGAGTCGGTACCATTTCGTTTCGCGGGGCATCGGGATACAAGTCCAAGGTACGTTCTTCCCCGGCTGTTGGGCTTCATCATTTCTAACCTGTGCTCTTCTCTCGTCAGAACCTTCGTGGGAAGACCTGAAGTCAGACTGGGCGTGCACGATCCCAGTTTAGGCGGGTCCGGCTAAACTCCAGGTGAGTTTACCTACTCAGTCTGTTCATTTTCGTTACTAACTTTTGCTATTTCTGGTCAGTACATTCAGCGGAGTTTTTGGCATTACACAGCAATTGTGTGATTCCCCTTGCAACTGGCCATGCAATCCCGCTCTTTTTCGAAAAAGCGAAGAAACAAGCTGGAGCTCCAAACCTTACGGTATACTTGTTTTGCTTTCGGGCATGCAGCCCCACTCTTTTTCGAAAAAGAGAAGAAGCAAATTGGAGCTCCCTGCGCTATACTTGTTTGGCCTCCGGGCTCCTTTCTGGGCTGTGGGCTTTCAAGTGGGTTGTGGGCTTCCATGTGGGTTGTGGGTTTTTATGTGGGCTGTGCGCTTTCCAATCGAGCAAGAGAGCTATTGGCCTGCTGCATGGGTACAAGGTCCAAAGAAGATCCTTTCGGGTCAGTAGACTCAGCAGGGCCATAGAACAAAACTTCCATTGCATCTCTGATCGGAGTGGGCTGAACACTCAATAGAGTATTCGCCTACTATTCTCTTGGCCATTAATGTACCTGGAGACATCTATGATAATCAAACAAGATTAGGTAGCAATTGTTGGATGAGTGTGAAGTCAAGAGACATTGGATATTGCTGGGTACTTGATTCGAGCGCACCTCAATGGTCTTGGCAAAAAGCTGTCCATATGATTGATCCAATCTAATAAGTGCCCAGTACTATGATAACTACGGAGAGCTACTTAACTACATGTAGTTAGTTAATTGCATTTCAAAACCAAACCCTGTTGATATACATAAGCGTGAACCAGGGCCCCTGAGCATTGACCAGGGACGCCGCCTGGTATGTGACCTGCGACTAACCATAAAAACAAGGCATAGCCCCCTCGTCCATCGTGCTCGCCTCTCGACCAGCTCACTCACTGAGGTCGGATCCCACGAAGCACTCATCCTCCACCATTAAAGCCTGCCTGAAGGTTGTGGACACCAACGCGCTTGTCGATCTCGTCGACGTGGTGCAGGGCCAGCTTTGGGTTGATAAGGTGAATGGAACCCACGTAACAGGCCGTCTTTGCCAGTGGGTGTCGACTTTCCATCCAGATAAGCTTCCCTGTGTACTTGATGATCCCTTTCACCATGGCGCATTTAACGCGGGCATAAAGATGGTCTTCAGTGACAGCACGGCCTGGATGGTTCGTTTCCCTCGTTTTGGGATGGTCTGTGAGGACTACGCCGACGAGAAGGTTGCTATGGAGGTGTCGGCCCTAAATCTCATCCGCAACACGACTACCATTCCCGTCCCAAAAGTCCAGCCTTAGGGTCCCGCTGCTAGTAACAGACTTGGTCTAGGTCCGTTCATCATGATGGACTTTATAAACGGTGTGAGCCTTAGCAGCCTTCTCCAGGACCCCAACGCCGAGTGACCTAGTAGAGTCACAAGGGGCGATATGAGCGAGAGTGATATTGAGGTTATCTACAGGCAGTTGACGAATTTCTTCCTTTTTCAACTTTTCAAACTGGATTTCGACCGGATCGGCAGCCTGCTGTCGCCACAGACTGAAAGCCAAAGCCCTACACCACCACGGCCTTTAACATTCAAGGCACAAACTATCCTACAAAATGGAGGGGTCGATACTTTCGGTACGCATTGGCGTCTTTTTCCCCCCTTTATGTCCCTATAGCTCTTATATAGTGCCCTAACTAAGCAAGTGATATCTAGGTGACCGAGCCAAAGGGTTTGCGACGACAACCGAGTATTTTCGATATGTCGTCGAACAGGATTAGAAGCAGCTCGTTTATCACCAAACCCCCCGTTGGTTTCTATGATGGTCAAACCAAATATGTCGTGTTCAAAGTTCTAGAGAGTCTGATACCTGAACTTATTCAACGCAAAGTATGACCGTTGCAAGTTTAAACTAATCTGCGACGACCTTGGCTTAGCAAATCTGATCGTCCGTGGCACGGAAGATCTCACTGTCGTTGGATTAGTGGACATTGAGTGGTCATATATCGGACCCGCCCAACTGTTTGGCTCGGCACCGTGGTGGCTTCTCCAAGACAGGCCCGTCAACAGCACGTGGGATTGCGAGGGCAAAGAGCTGCCTAAGATTGGGACCCGGTACTTCAGATACTTAGAGGTTTTTATACGTATCTTGGAGGAGGAAGAGGCAAAGATGTAAGGGCACGAAGAGAGAGAGAGCTCTCCAGTCTCGTCAAGTGGTCCTAAGCCTCTGGCGCGACGTGGTTGCATATGCTCCTCTCATCTGGCTTTAGCGACGAGCATAGCTTTCTCTTTACGCAGCTGCGCGCACGTCTGGGGGCTGCTGAGTGGGCAAGGCGTGGGATGGAATTCGACAACCCGAAAGAGCTTGAGTAATTCGCGGCGCGGAAGGTGAGGAAGATGGATACGTATAAAGAAGCCTTGGAGGAGTTAGAAGAGAGAAAGGCTCTCGTGGAACAGCGGGAATATGACAAAGGAGAAGTTCATTGCCAACCACGAGCAGCGTCACTTACGAACACTAGCCTTGACACTTCGACACGGAGTATGGGTTAACGTAGGAGATTTCTAAATCGATATTCTGCGAGATCATCTAGAGTTCATAACTTAAACAGTTCTGGAATGGCAGCACTTATAGGAGTTCCACAGGCATCTGTTAAAAAAATCGTGCAAATGTCGACCGTCTTGGCTTCAACAAAGGCTCGGTAATCGGGCGTGCTTCTTCCTAAGCTTGTTTCGCCCAGGTCTAACATCGGTAGATGTCAATGAAATGACTGGTTGCGGTTGTAGACATTGATGTAAGCCGCGAGAAACGCCGTTTAACGGTAGCCGAATATGGATGCCGCGGCGTCGTCAGACTTCACTCCCAAAGAGAAGGTGGAATCACTCAAAAGTCCAATTGTCAACTAATTCGTATGCGGAAGATGCCGGCATAAGACCTCCATAGGAAAGCTGGAAAGCATGCGGCCAACTTGGAAGCGTTGACGGCCTAGGTTGTTGGAGAAGAGATATCTCGGAAGTCGGGACCTATACAGATTTTCCGGTGTATCTGTGCAATGCATTATAGCGCACCAAATATCTTTAAACGGTCCTTTCAGTGGTTCGGCCCCAACGATACAGATTGCATCCGTAATTCTTTATCAAGTCTATCCCCTTTCAAACCACAAAGAATGAATGCTACCCCTAAAAGAGGCAAAGAACACAAGTGAAGTCTTTGTGGCTCGCATTGTTTCTTCTATCACATTATCCTCTTTGAATTCCAATAATCATGCTTCCCTCGACGGAAATTGTATAAATAGACTTGATCCCACACTCCTCTCAAGAGGTCAGCGACATCATTTGAAGTGTCTGCATCAACTACATGTCCACTGACACTACGAGCTAACTTCACAGAAGACCTATAATCCCCTGCTTAGATTTGTCATACAGTACCCATTTATCATTATGCTGGTCCCGACAGGAAACGCCGAACATCAGTTTCTGCGCACACGCGATCAGTTCGTAGCTGACATACAGCTCGAGATTGATGCCATTATAACTCGCAGTGCAATTTCGCCCTTCCGCCTGACACTGGCTGTTGACAACCTTGCCGATCTCATTGACAAGGTACGTGTCGTCGAACGGGCTAGTGTCACTATGTACATGGAGATGCCAAGATGCCGTACCGTGCTGGATAGACGTGGCTACTACGGACAGAATTCCGCATTTCTAGCGAAGACTCGTAAGCTTCGGGGACATTTGGTTGTGCTTAAAGACAACCTCATGTCTCTATATTCCGACCGGCATTGGATTTCCCGTCAGATCGAGGCTGTGGACCGGTACTTGGACCTTTAGATATACGCAAAATTCATTCACTCAAAATGTTTTGCACTCAAATGTGCCCATTCATCGTAGTATTGTAGTCAGTTGTAGCTTGTAGAGCAAGAAGTCGCTCGGGGCACTCACAGATATCTCACGTTTTGAAAGTTTTGCTGACTTCTAAACTAAGGCTAGTCATTTGGTGCCCGAGATGGTTGCCAATATTCCACCTGGTAGAAATGTTTTGAAACTGGCAACCTGTTCTGTGCCCTTCCAAGGTTGGTCTCTTCGGTTTGACAAGACTACCTCCAGTAGCGAGACCCACAATATCGGCAGGGTAGGCGCTATTTTGACCTCAACCGGGAGACTGTCCTGTCGAATGTCGGTCAGAGGTTTGCGGCAGTGAAGAGAAGTACAAAGGGCTCAAGTATACATATCCTCTCTAGCCCGCTCGACTATGTATCCGTGAACCAAGTGTAATAAATCTGTTCTCTTTCAAGCTTATACACTTGATCCACCGAGGTCGCTAGATACTTGCAGTAAATTCACGTACTACGATTACACTGCGCTAATGTAAGCTGTTGTAAAAAGAAGAACGTAAAAAAAAGAACGCGCATCAAGGCAGCTGAGATGCCCCGATAGGATCGCCAGTGCTAGGGCGCATCAAGAGACCACGTTAAAAAGGCACTGAGTTTCCAAATCTCTAAAACTTAAGCCCTATCATAAGGCCTTAATGGCGTTGTTCAGAATATCCCTGTCACTCCAGCCGGATAAGGATTCGTCGGCATGTGGGGAAGACCCCGCGGGGAAACATCGCGCTAGTCCTATATCGTCCCGCTGGTGAAGATCAATGGCGGCCCCGGGTTGCATTAGGCCGAACAGCCAATCCCTCTCGGGCGAGGTCGGTCCGAGATTTCATGGCGTTGGAATGCTTGAATGAGCGGAGAAAAGGGCCTGGGCCCCCAGATCCCAACGTCTCTCCAGCGTTTCAATCGATTTAAACACATGATGGTTTTCCGCGGAAAATGCCTACACTGGGCTGTGACAGCTGCAAGCTGCCAAGCCTTTCTTCTCCTGGGATATGACCAAGGAGTCATGAGCGGCCTGATTGGCGCGAACAATCAATTTGGACAAACCTTCAACAACCCTGACAGCACGATGCAGGGTCTCCTTACTTCGATCTACGACATCGGTTGCGCAGTAGGCTGTCTCCTCAGTCTCGTCATTGGCCACAAATTCGGCCGCCGCAAGATGATTATTGCTGGTGGTTCAATTATGATCATAGGAACAATTATCCTCGGCAGTTCCTATAGCATTCCTCAATTCCTCGTTGGCCGAATTGTCACTGGCCTTGGCAATGGAATCAACAGCAGTACCGTTCCAGCCTACCAATCCGAGCTAGCGCGCCCAGAACAGCGTGGCATGTTGCTCTCGGCCCAAGGCACCGTTACAATTCTTGGTCTATGTATCGCATACTGGCTGGACTATGGACTGAGCTTCGTGGACACGCCAGTTCAGTGGCGGTTCCCGATCAGTTTCCAGGCTTTCTTTGCTATTTTCTTGGTTCTACAAATGATTCCCTTGCCTGATTCACCACGCTGGCTCTGTGAGCAAGATCGCAGTGACGAGGCAGCGTCGGTCCTGGCACGTCTTCAACTGGATCAGCCCGCTGATGAGTCCAGTCCAGAGGTTGTTCATCTTCGTCATCAAATTGAATCGTCTATCGAGATTGAGTCTGCTGGCGGACCCTTCAAGTACAAGGAGCTCTGGTCGGGTGGCCAGATGGGCAATCTTCGACGCATGATCTTGGCTGCGGTTGTTAATATCCAGCAGCAGTTTACAGGTAAGCAACACCATTTCGGGTGCTTTAGGAGATTGACGTATTGACATATCTTAGGCTCAAACATGATCAATTACTATGCCCCCATTGTCTACCAGGTATGTTCCCTAGCCCATCTCCAGCTGAACAGATAAAGTAATATTCTAAAACAGAATGCCATGAATCTATCTCGCAATTTGTCCTTGGTTCTCGGGGGCTGCACCTCTCTCGCGTACCTTGTTGGCTCCGTTATCCCCTTATGGAGTATGGATAAATTCGGCCGACGGGTGTCACTCATGGTCTCCGCCGCTGGTCTTTGTTTCTGTTTCGTGATGACTTCTATTCTATTATCAATCGGCACTGCGCCGTGTGCATATGCAGCTACGGTGTTTGTCTTCATATTCCAGTTGTTCCTTGGCATTGGTTATCTGCCAGTTCCCTGGTTAGTTTCTGCCTAACTTGGTCGTGCTAGTGTGTCACTGCTAACGACTAACAAGGTTCTATCCTTCTGAAATCTCCACTACTCGTATTCGAGCTAGAGCTCAAGCTTTTGGTGGCTTCGTCAATTGGATTTGTGTTTGTAAGTTGACAGGTCCCCATGGGAAGTAAGGACTTCGTTAACCCTCTGACAGTCATTGTTGTTCAAATTACACCCACGGCAATCGATAATATTGGATGGAAAACATTTATCATATTTGCCTGCTTCTGTTTTGCCTGGGTATGACCCCGATTCTGAACCCAATTTCTAAATTATACGATACTGACAGAACCAAGATTCCAACGGTCTTTTTCTTCTTCCCCGAGACCAAAGGCCTGGAACTGGAGGATGTTGACCACCTCTTCTCAAGAGGCGGAATCACCGGAGGTGTTTGGGAAAGTAGAGGCTATCCCGTTCTCCCTGGGCACCACCGAACTTTGAACACTGGGACGATCGAAAAGCCAATCATCGAGACTGCACACGTCGAGGTATAAGGCTGAAGTTGTGAAAATGCGCCCCGGGGTTCCTTCTGCCTCGTTTTCATGTCGATATGTTCTTATGACTTTTTTTTTGAGATTTAGATTTAGACTTCCCAAGAGCCTCTTGACTCTCTGCTTTGCAGCCTACTGTGGGCATATTCTTCTTCACAGTAACTGTAAGTCGACAGTATATAAGACTAGCATGTCGGTATC